GGGCTAGATCAGGCCACTCCTTAGAGGAACTGGTTTAGAGTTTGGTTTTTATTTTAAGTACAGTTCAAAGGCATTAGAGGACTTTCATCAGGATGGTCGTGAAGACTGAGATAACATGTATAAAGCACTCAGCACAATGTGCAGAGTGAACACTTAGGAAAGGGGGACGTCATTATAATCACTGTTGATATATGATAAAACCCTAACACACAATATGTGAAGTCCAAAATATGTATTTTTTTTTAAAATTTATTTATTATTATTATACTTTAAGTTGTAGGGTACATGTGCATAACGTGCAGTTTTGTTACATATGTATACTTGTGCCATGTTGGTGTGCTCCACCCATCAACTCGTCATTTACTTCAGGTATAACTCCCAATGCAATCCCTCCCCCCTAATTTTTTGTATTTTTTAGTAGAGATGGGGTTTCACCGTGTTAGCCAGGATGGTCTCGATCTCCTGACCTTGTGATCCATCCGCCTCGGCCTCCCAAAGTGCTGGGATTACTGGCATGAGCCACTGCGCCCAGCTGTTTGCAAGTTATCAACGTACTCATTATTTCAGACTGGGCACGGTGGCTCATGCTTGTAATCCCAGCACTTTGGGAGGCTGAGTGGGGTAAATCACTTGAGGTCAGGGATTCAAAACCAGCCTGGCCAACATAGTGAAACCCCGTCTCTGTTAAAGTACAAAAATTAGTGTAGTGGCGCATGCCTGTAATCCCAGCTACTTGGGAGGCTGAGGCATGAGAATCGCTTAAACCCAGGAGGCACAGGTTGTGGTGAGCCGAGAACATGCTACTGCACTCCAGCCTGGGTGACAGAGTGAGACCCTGTCTCTAAAATAAATAAACAAATATACTCATTATTTCATTAAAGCTTGTCAATCAGCTGAATCACAGATTCATAGTATATTTAGACTCTTTTGTATTTGAGCCAACTACTGAAATCAATCAGTGGCTGCTTGAGATAATTTGGCATAACTATCAGATTTATCAATTTAAAAAATAAAATTAGATCCTCACCTTAAATTCATTTATTTCATCATCATACTGCACACCTAGAAGGCGCCATCAATTCCACACATAGTAATTAAAGGTAAAAAATTCAAAAGACAGGTGTTTCATTGACCTATGTTCCTTGTAAATAGCCTTCAAATTTTCCATATGTTTGACACCTTTCATAATACAGTGTTAGATGATACGGGCTCAGTGGCATAAACCTGTAGTCCCTACTGCTTGGTAGACTGAGGGAGGATCCCTGGAGCCCAGGAGTTGGAGTCCAGATGAGGCAACGTAATAAAACCCCTACCCCTTTAAAAAAAAAAATCAACTAAGTTAAGAAGAGAAGATAAAAATGCAAGTATGGCTGTACAGGAATAATTTAATTTTTTTCCTTTTCTAGTTTTTAGTTTTTAATTTTTATTTATTTATTTATTCATTTATTTATTTAGAGGCAGAGTTTTGCTCTTGTTGCCCAGCCTGGAGTGCAATGGCACGATCTTGCCTCCCAGGTTCAAGCGATTCTCCTGCCTCAGCCTCCCGAGTAGCTGGGATTATAGGTGCCCACCACCATGCCTGGCTAATTTTTTGTATTTTTAGTAGAGATGGGTTTTGCCATATTGGCCAAGCTGGTCTCGAACTCGGATCTCAGGTGATCCGCCTGCTTCGTCCTCCCACAGTGTTGGGATTACAGGTGTGAACCACTGCGCCTGGCCTGATTTTTATTTTTTTAATGTAAAATTAATGTGTGCTCACTATAAGGAAGGAAGGGAGAAAACATAGACGTGAAGGTCCTATTTACCATCCCTCACCTCCCCAGCTGCAGTAACTGTCATCACTGATCTGGACTGTACCCAGGGTTTCTTTTCATCTTTTTAGCTACTTCACTGGGAAAAATCATTAGAAAAAATTATCTCCTCCTACTAATTTTATATCAAAAATTAGAAAGGACAGTCTCAATAGTCTTGAAGAAAATGGCAGTGCCAATTAATATTGACTTACTGGTTTTCTCATCTCACTGAGGACAACTGAGATTGTTTTCATAAACTTCTGATTTTCAAAATTGCTATCTTTAAAATTCTTACATTGACCTATTTTCCTCTTGTGATTTCTTTGGTCCTCTCTTAGTGTCATGAGCCAGTAAGAGTTGCTAATAGCCACTTTATATATATATATAGTGTACAATTTGCTACATGGAATGTAAAAGTGAGGCCAGGCACAGTGGCTCACGCCTGCAATCCCAGCACTTCGGGAGGCTGAGGCAGGTGGATCACCTGAGGTCAGGAGTTCGAGACCAGCCTGGCCAACGTGGTGAAACCCCATCTCTACTAAAAACACAAAACATTAGCCGGGCGTGGTGGCGCACACCTGCAGTCCTAGTTACTCTGGAGGCACGAGAATCGCTTAAGCCCAGGAGGCAGAGGTTGCAGTGACCCAAGATCATGCCATTGTACTCTAGCCAGGGCTAAAAGAGCGAAATGCCATCTCAAAAAAAAAAAAAATAGCCGGGCATGGTGGCATGTGTCTGTAAATCCCAGCTACTCAGGAGGCTGAGGTGGGAGAATTGCTTAAACCTGGGAGGCAAAGGTTGCAATGAGCCAAGATTATGCCACTGCACTAAAGCTTGGGTGACACAGCAAGACTCTGTCTCAAAAAAAAAAAGTAAAAATGAGTATAATTGAATGGAAGATCTCAGTCAAGTTCAGTGGAAAGAATAATACTGTATCTTTTTAGGTCTCATCACTCTTTTTGTTTCCAAAGCTCTGAAGTTCCCCATTACTTGGAGTTTAAAATTCCTCAACTCCTTGACACAACGTAAGATCTTAACATAGGCAGCTGCAATCATCAGTGGCAGATGAATAGGGAAAGGCATAGACAAAGACAATATGAAGGCACAAAATTTTAGAGCTGGAATAGTGCTGTATAACAGGGTCCCCAAACCCCTGGCTGTGACCTGTTAGGAACCGGGCCACACAGCAGGAGGTGAGCAACTGCTGAATGAGCATTACTGCTGAGCTCCGCCTCCTGTCAGATCAGCGTTAGCATTCAATTTTCATAGGACTGGGAACCCTATTGTGAATGGAGGTTGCAGGCTCCCCGTGAGAATCTAATACCTGATGATCTGAGGTGGAGCAGTTTCATCCTGAAACCACCCCCACCACCTTCGTCCATGGAAAAATTGTCTTCCACGAAACTGTCTTCCCTTGTGCCAAAAAGGTTGGAGACCACTGCTCTATAAGGTTGACTTACAATGTGTGACCATGTTAAGGCTGAAATTAAGAATTTGAGGCTGGGCTGGGCATGGTGGCTCATGCCTGTAATCCCAGCACTTTGGGAGGCCAAGGCAGGTGAATCCCTTGAGCCCAGGAGTTTGAGATCAGCCTGAGCAACACGGTGAAACCCCGTCTCTACAAAATATACAAACATTAGCCAGGTGTGGTGGCACACATCTGTGATCCTATGTGCTTGGGAGGCTGAGGTGGGAGGATCACTTGAGCCCTGGAGGTTGAGGCTACAATGAGTCATGATGGAGCCACTGCACTCCAGCCTGGGCTGGACAGAGTATCAAAAAAAAAAAACCAAAAAAAAAAAAACGCTGAGAAGGATTGAGTGTCTCCTTGAAATGAGTTATCTCAATTCTCA